GACACTGTGTGACTGTTGTTTGACCCAGTCAGCCATCTGGTCCCACAAATCTGTACAGTTCTCAACGAGCATTCTCAGGGGCAAAGCTGTTGGTGGGGTCAGGGGGATTGGAAAATTGTTTCATTTTACCAATAAGTCTAAAAGGTACACTGTATTCTGATTTTTAAAATAAACATTTGACTTTCATGTAGATCACTTAAATTAATTGTAAAGAAGAAAAGGTCCACATTTTTTGAAAAAAAGACACCACTTCGACACACATACACTGTAGTGCTGGCTACACTCTTGTTGCATTACTGCTAGCTTTGATTACTTCCACTCTGCTTATCATGCTGATGACTATTTCAGTGTGAAACTGGATAACTAACCACCCATAATTACAGAACATCACTGGAACTTTATTCCTACTGACCAAGCTAATGCTGACAGTTTTCTGGACAAAAAATGGCTCATTTCATGCTTGATCTGTATAACCATGTGATGTGGCATCAACGTCCTAGACTTCATTTATATAGTAATCCATGGAAAACTTTTGTACATGGGATTACTATGAATTCCTTTTCCATATACACTTGTGCAGTTCATTTTTTTTTGTATACATTGTGGCCAATGCTGGATGGATAACTTTCACAGAACATAATTCACTATTTGTACTGGTAATACTGACTGATAAGCCTAACCATTTTAAGAATGCTGTTGCCAGAATGAAGGTTAGTGATGATTACCTACAATTTGAGTGATGTCTTTTAGACATAGTTGGAGATTTACCTCAGCATTGACTTCTAGTTTATCTCTAATTTCCAGAATGATGTTGTGTTGATTGCTTCAAGTGGTGGGCCTGATATAGTGAAAGACCTACTAGTGTTGTGGTCACTCTTGTCTAAGATGAATCCAACCCTGAGAGAGCTGGGCTGTTCTTCAAACTTTGAGGTTCAAGCCATCCATTTCACTCCACCTCTCCAAGTCCGTTGCCATGCCCAACTTGTACTCCATTAGTTTCCCAGGGCTGAAATGGAATTGTATACCTCCTTGTTTTTGGCTCCTATACATGCTGGGCTGTCAGTTAAAAGTGATTGTTTTTTCAACCTTGCTGCTTGGCAAGGTACATGCAATTCATTTGAAAGTGATCATGTGTTCAATAGGTAAAGCAAGAGCTTTGCTCCTCCCTTCCAGTATGACATTCATGCAGAGGCATCATTGTTGTAAGCTACACCATATAAGCCATGGGAGTACCAGTATAATATTGCCCATTCACTGGACATCAGTATGATCTGCAACATGGAATTGGAATGTGTAGGTAGATGGTTAACTCTTGGCTGGACTCGAACCTGGCATGTTTTAGGTGCTTTAATGGGGTAGTCTGTCTGAGGAGAAGCCACTGAAGCTGTCTCTACAGGTCTATTTCTTTTGCAACCAGCCTGAAGCCAGAACTCTACAACATTGCTAAAGAAACAGTCTCACTCAGGGTTAGAAGATCTCTCACATCCAGATGAGGTGATGCCTTATTGTTTCACTGGGTAGCCCTTCCACAGATTTGTCTACAGGGGATATCCTCATGATCCACTGAGGCCATAGAATGGTAAGTCTTCCTATGCATGGTACCCCTCCTTTGAGTCTCAAACTCAGCCTGATGGATTGTTCTATTTTACATTGGGTTGAACTTCTAATTAAACTTGGTAAAGACTGTTTCACAGTTCCAAAGTTGTGCCATACTCAAGTGACGAATGTTGTTTATTGTTTGTCAGCAATTCGTAGAAACAAATACTACGGTATTCTGTTTGATTCCACACCTGATTTAGCCCATCATGAGCAATTGGCCCAAGTGATTCGGTTTGTTGACATTGACTTTAAGACAAGAAAAGTATAAGTCAAAGAGTCATTTATTGACTTTATACAGATAAAGGAAAAAGACACTGCCAATATTGAGAAAACAATAAACACAAAATTAGAAGCGGATGGAGTGATTGTTGTTCACAATGTTATGATATTGCTGCTATCATGTCAGGTCATCTGTCAGGCATTCAACAAAGAATTCTGAACAAAAATCCAAAAGCAGTGTTTATAAACTGTAACAACCATAGTTTGAACTTAGCATGTCTTCATGCTGCAAGTCAGGAAACAACAGTTATTATCTTTTCTGGTATAATTGAAGCCATTTATAATTTCTTTGCTCATTCAACAACTCGATGGGATGAACTGTAGCAGGAGCTTAAGCTCTCTGTCAAGCGTGAATCAGAAACATCGGTGGAGTGCAAGAGAAAATGCAGTAAAAGCTGTACATTGAAAACTGGATAAATTGCTAGGACTGTTAGAGCAATTAAGAGAGAATGACAACACGGCTGAAACAAAATGTGGTGCTCATAATATTCTGCAATACATGCTTACATTTTATTTTCTTGTACTTTTACATTTTTGGAGAAATCTTTTATCATCTATCAATTGAGTGCAGAAACGTCTTCAGGATTCAAAAATTAATTTCAGAGAAGCATCTGCTGATCTTCATTCTTTAAAAGAGAAATTGATAGAATTACGTGAAAAGTCCTGTCAAGAAGCACTTAAAGTG